TTCAAGTATTGTACAGAGAGTGGTAGTACTAGCAAACACAAAAGGATTAATTTGCCGATAGTAGACATCTCAAAGTTCTGACTTCTTTATTACTATGTAGCTAGCCCATTTAATTGTTGTGACCTTTCGACCAGTTGCTCTCTTATCCCTTGAGAACGGTACATACTCTGGTATAAAAGGATATCAAGTGTTTGGATGACTGTTCATTTGGTTCCTTCTGCGTCTGACGCTATAGAACCAATCTCAACATCATAGACGAACCCCTTTGATATGGCCAGTTCCCTAGCCGACTGGCCAGATGCCGCTCGAATGTCCGGATCAGCCCCTGCCCGGAGCAAAACTTCGATATGCTCTCCCCGTATATGGCCTCCTAGTTGACTGGCGGGGTTGTGATAATGGGTCTCAATATACACATAAAGGGGAGTGCGGCCTTTGTTATCTTGTGTGTTGATATCCTTCCCAGCCCCATGGGCGAGCAGAAAGTCGACGCAAGCCCGGTAACGGTGGATGAAGGAAACTGCAAGGTGAAGTTCTGTCTGTCCATGCGCATTGGGCCGGAACTGTGCTCCCTCTTCTATAAGGCGACAGAACCATCGGTGGCTTTCTTGGTTACGCGGCAGAGTATGATGGAGGAGGCTCCGTCCGCTCCGATCGAGGCTACTTAAATCGGCACCTTTTTGCTTGAAGAGGTGCAACAGACGCAGACTGACTACTTCGACTTCAGCCTCCTCTTCATAGACACTACCTTGCCAGCAGTTAGCGAGGTGGAACGCAGTCGTTCCATCTGTGGTGCGATAATTCGCCAGGTCGCTCGAAATCGGTTCGCTTAGGGGCCAGAGCAGCTCGATTACCTCGAAATGGCGACCTTCACAGGCCCGGTGCAGCGGCAACCAGCCGTTTGAATCAGTCGCTAGAGGATCGGCACCATGGCTTAATAGAGATTGAACCGTCTCCAGACTCCCATTCCCAGAAGCGATATGAAGCGGGGTCCCGCCCGACCAGTTCCATGTAGGCGGAATCTGTTCGTTGATATCCACGCCCCCACGATCGAAGAAGAAGCGAACAATGTCTGGATGGCCGTTCCGTACTGCCCGAGCGAAGAGGCTCATTCCTTTTTCTTCCTCAGCCCTGCCGGCGGGGCAATCAGGAAGCTCTACCCCGTGGTCAAGGAGCATCTGGATCATGTCCATGCCCATAGATGTGTCAATTGTTGGCAGGATGATCGGCTCGGGCGGACTTCCGTGGCCGGACCGATAAATCAACATTTGAGGAAACGAATTAGGGCGAGCACCATTATCCAGTAAGAGGCGAAAGACATGGATGCCATCCTGCCACGACACCTCCGGTAGACGAGGCCCCATCCCGTGGTAGGGGTCGTATTCTTGATTCAGGGCTGCGTCGGCGAGAGCTCGATCCAGGACATCCTGCTGGACTCCAGGAGCCGGATATTCACGGAGAAGACAGGCGAGGGTCTTCGGGTGACGAAAAAGCGAGGCGGCAATCACTGCATCCGGCCACTCCCCTGCGGCGATAAGGCCCGCAGGCTGCAGTCGGTCAATAAAGCGTTGCACGGCGGCCTCGCAGCCCCAATAGGCCGCAGTCATAAAGGCTGTATGCGGTCTTCCGCCCTCATCAAGCTGTCCTAATTGCGTGCAGCAAAATCCATCGGCCGACACGTCGTCCTGGGAGGGATCCGCTCCCGCGTCGAGCAGAAGGTCTATTAATTCTGGAGAGTTTGCCATGCCGGCTAGGTGCAAAGGAGGTAAGCAAACAGCGCCATACGACTCACAGCCCTTCTGATTGACATCAAAGCCGCGTGAGATCAGGAAGCGGGCAATATCAAAATGGTTGTTGTTGATTGCGATGTGAAGGGGCGTGTCGCCGTATGTGGGCAGATCCGCAGAATCAGCAGATTCAAGAAGCACGGCGATGGCAGGCAAATTGCCTGATCGAGCCCATCCTATCATTTGTTCATTCAGCCCGCTCATTGCCGGGTACGGAACTTGTGGGTAGCATGCCATGACGGTTTAGGAGGCAAAGAGAGAAATAACTCATGGGAAAGATCAAATGGAGGACAACTACGAGGGGAAAGGAGGAGAAAGCAATTTTATATGTTCATGTTTCGGATGTGACCCGGAAAGAATACATGAGTTAAGTTACAGTACGTGACGTGTTATTTACTGCAGATCACAGACAACCGCCATCTGCCCCGTCAAATTCGCGCATGACCCCTGAAGCCCCTAAGCCCCGAAGCCCCGATACCTCAAATCCTCAAGTCGTCTCGAATATTACTCCCTAGATCTTCTCTGTGACCGAATGAATCAAGCCGAACAACTACCGTAATCTGCTAAGCAGTTTGCCGCTGCACAATACGCATCTGAGCTACCGCAATAGCCGTTCACGGAGCAGCAAACCCCAAATTGACTCCCAAGGCACGTTGCGTTGTCGGAGGACATGAAACCGCAGAGGCCATCGGTGCTTATGGGCAGCTGAACGCAGTTGCCAAAGGCAGACTGACACTGACCAATTCCGCAATATGCGTCGCTGCTGCCGCAGTAGCCGCTCGTAGAGCAGCAGTCACCAAACTGGCTGCCCGCACAACTGGCGTTAACAGATGACATGAAGCCGCACAATCAGTCCAGGCTGACCGTCACTGTGTCACAATTGCCATAAGACGAGTCGCAAGAGCCAATACCGCAGTATTCCTCTGTGCTTCCACAGTACCCATTAATGGAACAGCAGTCACCGGAGGTGCTACCCGCGCAGGTAGCGTTAGAGGAAGAAGGCGCTCCGCATAAGCCATCTGCGCTAACTGTGGGGCCAGCATCACAGGTCCCGAATGCAGACAGACAACTGTTATAGGCACAGTAGGCGGAGGTGCTGCCGCAGTATCCGTTGATCGAACAACGGTCGCCGAATGTACTACCAGTACAGGTGGCATTAGAAGATGATAGGGCACCGCACAAACCATCTGAGCTGACTGGAGGAGCCTCAACGCAGCTTCCAAACGCGCTCTGGCACGTCTCGTAGCCACAATAGTCAGAGGTGTTACCGCAATATCCACCAGTGGAGCAACAAGATCCAAATTGGCTTCCGGTACATGTTGCATTGGTTGATGAAAGGGAGGCACAGAGCCCGTCTAGAGAGATCGGATTGCCCGAGACACAATTACCAGATGTAGAGTCGCAGAGTTCCGCGGCGCAGTAGTCAGAAGTACTGCCACAATATCCCGATAGCGAGCAGCAGTCCCCGAAAGAGGACCCTAGACAGGTTGTACCGTTTCCACATAGCCCATTAGTGGAGACGGTCAGATTACCACTGATGTTCGTCGCATTGAAACCGCGTATAGGGTGAATACAGTAGGTCAAGCCCACAGTCAGTTCATCATCACAGGCCAGCGCGGACGTGATTGAAGGGTCAGCGGCCATGAAAAGGTTAAATGGTGTGTTGGCTTCTGCTAAGAGTGAGACACACGTATCGCCGGACACAATCGTATAATAATCTCCGCAGTCAGTGGTTGTGCCATCAGCAAGAGTGATATCGCTGGGTAAAGCAACAAAGTTGGTCCCATAACCTGACCCCGATCCGCCTTGCCCGTCGGCACCTGACGTCGAGCTAGAGTTGGCGGAAACCGTGAGATTGAAGGTTCCTCCAGGAGCAGAAACGCATCTGACTCCACCTAGAAGAGCGGTATCGCCTATGTTCGAGCATCCGCTGTCGACCATACCGTTGTAAGAGACAAGTTTCAACCACGAAGTTCCGGTCGCAGCAGTGATCGAAGAACAATTATCCCCCGCGGCGATCTCGTAGACATTTTCACATGCTAGGGGCAGGCACAATCTTAGCCCTAATGTCGGATCACTGCAATTATACAGGGTGGGATTGATTTGATATAAAGTTGAAGAAGAGATAGATTGGGCAAGGGCGATAGAATCACATGTGTCTTCTGGCTGGACTGTGTACCAATTGCCTGTAGAGCAAGAAACATTTGCCACAGGGATCTGAATTCCCCCCGAAGTCGGCTGTGTTTCTACGCCCTGTAGGTTGCAAACTGCAACTAAAATAACGGTCAGCCACATATCCACAAATATTAATAGGTAATGCGGAATCCAAGTACCCGAAATCGAATAATTAAGCATGGTCTCGTAGGGGGCGCTGTAAGCCGAATACGGCGACTGCTGCATTAATTCTAGCTTCTTAACCCAGCAATCATCGCAAATATTTGCCACCGGCATATCGGTAAGATTCGACGCTGAATCCCACAAGTCGAGAATATCTGCTCTCTAAAGGTTCATGGGTGCCTCAGGCACCAATGGCCCTATATATGTACATAGTCCAGAGTGAAGGCCCTGAGGGCTTTCCTCTTCCCTTTTTCCCCCAAGAATGGAATTCTTACCTGGTTGATTCATCTTATTTTCGTAGTCTCACAAGTACATTGATAGTGCCAGGTAAAACCTAACTCTCCCAGCCTACCGTGCAGCTTTGCCGTCTCCTTCCCAAGGCAGTGGCCCATTTTAGAGGACGCGGGTAGGCAGTTGGTGAGACCTCACTTCCTTGCTGACGCCACCGCACTGCGATTGTGCTGCATATGAGCATTAACCAAGTGGCCAGCCGCTAGAGCAGAGCAGGTGCTTAACTCGCCCGCCAGCACTGCAGCGGCGACAATCCGGGCTAGGCGGCGCGCATTGGCACCAGGGTCAGTGGGATGCGCACCGCGCACCCCGAGCAGGTCCAGCATGGAGCCTTGAGCCTCGAGGATGGTGCCTCCGCCGATCGTCCCGACCTCCATTGAGGGCATCGAGACGGCGATGTGGAGGTTCCCATTGATGCTAGAGCAACCCACCGTTAGCACGCACAGAGATATATGGACAGCCGGTCAAATAACGACGGGAAAAGGATGGATGAAACATACTTCTTCATGGTCGTGATGCAACTACTACTCTCAACATTCTGGGCAGGATCCTGGCCGGTGGCTAGAAACACCGCCTGAACAAGATTGGACGCATGGGCATTAAACCCACTAATACTACCGGCCATGGCACTGCCGACCAGGTTCTTAGCAGTGTTGAGTTCGACTAACGCATCAACCTCCGTCTTCAGAACCTTCCGCACGGTGTCGGCGGGAATCGTGGCTTCGGCGATAACGGACTTGCCGCGGCCCCCAATCCAGTTAATGGCGGCGGACTTCTTGTCAGCGCAGAAATTTCCTGAGAGTGTAATAGTGTGCATGTCCAGGAATCCGCCCTGCACAGCCATCGCCTCGAGAGCCTTCTCGACCCCCTTAGAGATCATATTCATACCCATCGCGTCGCCGGTGGTGGTGCGGAATCGAATATAAAGGTAGGTGCCTGCCTGCGCTACAGTCAGGGTCTGAAGGCGGGCGAACCGGCTGGTTGCGTTGAATGCGGTTGTGAGCACCTCGTGGCCGACGGACGACTCGACCCAGCGCTGAGCTTCAGCGGCGCGTGAAGCAGAGGGGAACCCCAGGCAGGGGCCCCGTGTCATCCCATCGCCCTTGAGCATAGTCACCGCGCCGCCTCCCGCGTTGATAGCCTTGCAACCCCGGCTGGCGCTGGCAACGAGCACTCCCTCAGTTGTGGCCATCGGGATAAAGTACGCTTGGCCATCGATCACCATAGGGCCGGCGAGACCGAGGGGCAAAGGGAGGTATCCAATCACGTTCTCACAGCAGGCGCCGTGCACGAGCTCGTAGTTGTAGTCGCGATAGGGGAGCAACGACTCTTCGACGCCGCTGCTAAGACCTTGCGTGGAAGGCGTCCTCGATACAGCGGCACGGCGGATCCGCACGGCGCGCGTAAATGCTTCCAGTCTGGTTACTGCGCTGGACGGTCCCGCTGTAATGCGCTCTAATGTCTTCTCCAAGCTATATCCTGCAATCTTACCCCGAAGACACAGCTCCAGCAGCTCGTCATCGGTCAGAGATGTTGCTTGGTTCGATTCGAACAGGGCCTCGATCTCTTCGGGGCTGCGAGAGCTGATGTCAGTGGCAGAGGGGGCGCGTGGTAACGACGGAGAGGAGCTGTCTATGACAGCTGACTCTTTTTTGGTTCGGGGCAGAGCATGCCAGCGGGCGGCTTGGATCAGATGGTTGTTGAGGATGAGGCTGATAACCAAAGCGCCTATAAGCCAGAGTCGACCGAGCGGGCTTTCCAGTCCAGCCAGCACACGGGGCGTCTAGTGGCTGTTACATCATGCTTAGATGACTCTAGGACATACCGAACAGGCATTAGCACTGTCGCACGCGTCTCTACTCCCTCGCGGCGAGCTGACAGGTAAATATCGTTCAGACCGTTGGCCGCTACTCTGAAGGGACTGACAGGAGTAGGGGTCAGAGCGGTTTTTGCCATAAATCCTCCCATAAAGCGATAGAAGAAAGATGACAATTGAAGCACGTTGAAGAGCACGAAGCCACCCACCATCAACAGTTTCCAACGGGCCACGCTTGCAGGCTTGACCTTGTACCCAAAAATTCGAGGGCCATGCTGCGCGTCAGCTTGATGAAGCGCACCGGGGCCCCGGATCCGCGTCACCTCTAATTTCACGCAGAGAATCGTGGCGTAGAAGGTGAATAGCAGAATAGCATCAACAAGCAGGATCCACACAGCTAGGAAGCAGAAGTGGCCGAGACTTTCCTGCGGCCGGAGTGCCGCTCCGATCCCCAACGCGCCGATTTCCAGTAGATACGACCGCAAAATATACCATCCTTCTCGATCAACCGCGAGCTGAATTGTCTTGGAAATCGATTGGCTCTGGTGGGTATCATCCTCATTGTTGCCAATGGAAGCAGACTGCTGTAACCCGCTGCGCTGGAGGTTTTTAGACGAGCCGAGAACGGTACGAGTAAATTGGATCGGCTTTTCGAAGCCAATCGTCAACACCAGGAACGGGATACCTTCCCAAAGCAGGAGCATGTCGACAGGCACGCGGCAGGCAGTCGTGATGCCAAGTCCAAGTATAAAGGCGAATGTGCCAGAGAGTAGAACCGAGGCTGCTAACCAGAACCTCGAGCCGAGATGACGCATCGCCCGAAAGAGAGAGACCACGGTCAGATTCATGGCTAGGTAACCGAGCCCAATAATCACCAAGTCAACGGTCTCTGCATGTTTGGCACGGTGAAGGAACGAGAGCCACGAGCTTCCGAGCCAGCGTCTCAGTGACATGTGACTTCCTTCTCCACGAGGAGACCTGATTATCCAGGTATGATTCTCGTTTTCCGAGGCTATGGATTCGACTGCCTCCAGAAAGCCGCTTAGTTGGAAGTATGGAACTCGAAACGCCAACGAGGCATCATCAGAGGAAGTGAAGAAGTTAGAAGTAGGCGGAATTGGATCCGCACCGAGAGACTGGGCGAGCGAATCTGACAGAAGGGAGATACTATCCGCGACAGAAGCATCTGGTATATTAAGGGTGACAAGGGCCCAGTGAGAGTTCGCCTGATAGATCGCAGGACAAGCACCGTTTGATCAGCACCCAGAATTATTTATCAGATTGATGGGGTGGGAAGAAGTGTATCATACTTGGTGAAACTCAGACGCCTCAGGCAGGTCATCGACCTGCCATCTCCAGGAGCTGGTCGCTCCGAGGCGAAGAGTGCGGCTGCCCCAGAGGAAAGACTGAATGTTTAAGGGAGCTGCCTCGATCTCGGACCCCAGACCTACATTAGCAGCCCGATAGCTTCCTTCCAAAACATGAAGATAGGTCATGGCCGCTGCCAGAGCAGTGACAAGCAGAGTATGAATGGGGTATCGACACGCCTGTCCCACAAGTGCACGTAACCCTGGGGTGATTCGATGCTGCACCCAGCCAGGATTCGGCCTCATCATCACAGATTCCATTGTGATGTTATCCTCGATTGTGGGAAGGGGGAGAACTGTTGAGTGAATGATTGGGGCTATGAAAGAATAAAGCAAGCACAGGGCTAGCAATAATCCATGTCCTCGATGAGAAACAGAAGAGAGATAATTCAGCTGTACAGTTCAAGGACAATGGTTTCGTCGGCGGAATAGGAAAAAAAAAGGATAAAGAAAGAAAGAAAGGAGATAGAAAAGCAGAAAAGAAAGGAAACGAAAGGCTATGGGATAACCGGAGAATGGGTTGTGGGAGCAAATCAACTTGGAAGCAATTCGGGGTTGCTAAAAGAGACGAAGGAGCATAAGGAGCATAGGAAAGGGACGAAGCAGGTCAGGCCGGTCGGGGAGAAGGACCTACGACAAGGCTACGGAGAAGTTAGCCTGTTATTAGTCAGGTTGTCACTTGTTTAACTAACTAACTACAGTATTAACTAACTTGCCCCTTTGCGTCGCGGCCGAAAGAATAAGCACTAGGAGGAAACACCAACGAGGGCGGCCCACGCCATGATCCGGCGGATCTCCTCCCATCTTCAAAACCATACTCCGGAGTATGTCCACATAACTTATACAGTACAACATATACATACATACTTGCATACGTACTGACATACGTACTGTATTAGTGTTGAGTGTAGATAGTAACGTTACTAAACTACCTAGTAGCCTAGATGGGGATTTAGTGCGTATACATAACCTACCCAAAACTACTAACTTATTCAGTATTAACGCTGGTGGTCATCTTATCTTCCCCTGTCTTACATAGTACGGGTAGCAAAAGCGACGGATTAGGTCCGAGTGCCATCGTCTATCTACCATCTTACAAGTTTCTACCTGAGCACGGAATCAGCTCACTAAGACCCCCCATACTCATGCCTAGATAAGGTGCTCATTGAGGGTGCCTAGGACCTACTAGGCATGAACCGAGGCCCAATCTGTTCTCTGACTGGAACTCTCCTCCGATGAGGCTTCGGAAAGACTCTAATCAGATCGTCATGGTTTCATAACCAACCAGGAATCCGCCATTCCGAGCCTGGAGATTCTTCAATAGCGAGCATTGCACTTCATTACACCTACGATCCTCACAACCTAGGACAGTACAATCGCGATGGCTGCAGAACAAGGCATTTCCACCCGCTCTGTCGTTCTATCGACAGTCCAGAACTCTCACACTGACGAAACCTTGCCTCGCCGTGCATTTCAACGATCTTTTGATCGATGCCATGCACAGAAGATCAAGTGTACAGGGAATCAGAGTGGATTGGCCCGGGGTCCATGTCAACGTTGCCAACAGGTTGGACTTGGGTGCGTCTACAGTGAGCGATGCCAGAAGCGCAAGCTACGCAAAACCAGCGCAGCGAACCTTGTCCCTGAAAACCCTAAGCACATGTCCTCGCCCCTGGTCTCCTCCCTTACCTTGCCGCGAGATGTGTCGGGATCGCACTCTGCGCCCACCCCCCTGCCCTTCCTGGATTCCTCTGGCGATTTCGACTGGTTCTGGCCCTCGATTGACGTGGATGGTCTCCATATTTGTGGGTAGCACCAGGCTGCAAACACCATGATCGACTCGGAGCTTCTTACCGTGCAGTGTGTTGAAAATATCGTCAAATCAAACTGATGACACCAGAGACCGTGTCGAGTCCCAATTCGCGTTCCAAAGGCTAACGGATGTGAGCAATGAGGCTTCATTTCTCATGGTTGACCCGAAATTGTTTCTAGAGCTACGCACACTTATTTTAGACTTGACAATTCAACTGTCTTAGATTTTACATGTCCATGCGAGCCCCGCCCCTCCCAACTTTCTCAAGTCATAATCACTGCACTAACATCGAGGTTATATGACCGGCCCCATATTCCGGCCTTAGGCTAACCTGATTATGGTATAAATGTGGGTATGCTTTTGCACTCCTGAGTCTTGGTTGAGGTTTGACCATCCGACCATTACAGATCATTCGTCGGTTTGTTCAGACTATGGCTATGGCTGGATCTGGTTTGATGTTTGTTTTCTCTCAATTTGAAATCAGAAGCCGGGGTAGACTATCGAACCGAGTTATCCAATTTCCTCGCTTCTATGGCCCCACTGCGCGGGCCCCTCTCCAGGCACCATCATTCACTCGGCACCCCACCGTGAATCAATCCAATAGAGCAAGTTCTCTACGGGTTCCAACATTGCAGTACTCCGTACAGTATGTTTCAATTAGCAGTGAATGCAAGATAGGCTGCTGGATCTAGGGTCAATGGCCTGGCCCAGGCCCGGCAGCCTAGTCTGAAGCGACGCCAGATGTCAAGAACAAGACACGAAACTTGGGATTTGAGGATAATAGGAAGCAAGCAGTTACGAAATTCAATGCATGTAAAGTGGGACTGCGGATTCATGGCGATGCGGTAGAGGCGCCTTCACCAAGCTCTCAGCTAACTACCTACGTAGTACACTTACGTAGAACAAGCCTTTACTAGCTCAGATATAAGTGCCCTACTGGTTGTGGGGCTACGAATAGGAATGAATTAACCAGGTAAGAATTCCATTCTTGGGAAAAAAGAGAAGAGGAAGGCCCATAGGGCCTTCACTCTGGACTATGTACATACTCCGTAGTATATAGTGCCATGGGTGCCTTAAGCACCCATGACTGGTCACATGACAGGCCGTCAAGGCGCCTGTCATGGTGTTACAAGAGACCCGTGCTAAATGACAGAAACAGTCCACCACAGGACCTTCGGCGACATCCTCTTCCTCGAATACCAACCCGTCAGCATCTCGACAGAATCTCTACTCTGAGCCAGAGCGGGTTCAGGCGCCACATGCCCGTCTGGGTTTTCTATCGAATGGTCAGCGCCTCGATCTTCCTTCCCAAGGCTCTCGCCGCCATGCATACTTCGGAAGAGCATCCGCCCATCTCGGGTCATGAACCCGCTCACCACCAGCAAAAGCACAGATAAAATCCCCCCAAAACCAGACCTCAAGCGCTAAATAGACCATCTCGCCATCCTTCCACCATCAGATTCCCCCAATCATGACCACCTGCACGCCCCCCTCCCGCTTCTCCTCGTCCCCTTACATCCCCCCTGACCGAATCTTCGAACTGACCGCCCAATACCTGGACGACCCCAGCCCCCAGAAAGTCAATCTCGGCCAAGGCACATACCGCGACAGCCACGGCCAACCATGGGTGCTCCCCGCTGTGGCTGCCGCACGTAACCGCCTGACGGCCACCGGCCTGAACCATGAATACCTCCCGATCCTGGGTCATCCGGTCTTCCGCACGCTGGCCCCACAGCTCGCCCTCGGACCAGCCCTGCACGCCAGTCTCGCTTCCCAGATAGCCGCCTGTCAGTCGCTCTCGGGAACGGGGGCATTGCATCTGGCCGGGCTGCTTCTTCGACACCTCCACGACATCCAGCCCCGGCAGGGGCTGGCCACCCCTGCTCTGCCGAAAGTCTACATCCCAAGCCCCACCTGGTCGAACCACCACCAAATCTTCACCTCCCTAGGGTTTGAAGTCGTTTCGCTGCCCTATTACGCCGCGACCACCCGCTCCCTGGCGTTGGAACCCTATCTCGCCGCCTTGGCGGCGGCGGAGCGCAACAGCGTCGTGATCCTGCATGCGTGCGCGCACAACCCCTCGGGGTGTGATCCGACGCCCGCGGAATGGCGGCAGGTCGCGCAGATCGCCAAAGAACGGAACCTCTTCCCCCTCTTCGATGCTGCATACCTGGGGTTCAACTCGGGGGATCTTGACGAGGACGCCGCGGCGATTCGGTTGTTTGCGGGCGAGGAGTTCGGGCTCGAGGTTGGGGTGTGTATGTCCTTTGCGAAGAATATGGGGCTCTATGGTATGATTTCCCTTCATTTTCGCGGGCTGTATGGTGGAGTGGTGTTGCGGAGTTGAAGGCCGGATTGGGACTACGACTCGCGGAGGGAAACGGCGGGTTACGGCATGCTAATCGAACGATAGGCGAGCGGACGGGGTGCTTTTTCCTCACCGCACATACCAAAACAGCAGCCAGGAATACGGAGTCGGTTTTGGAAGTGTTGCAGCGACGGGAAGTATCGAATCCACCCGCTTATGGGGCGAAGATTGCGGCCATGATTCTGGGGAATGAGGAGCTGGGGAAGATGTGGAAGGAGGACTTGCAGACCATGAGTGGGCGGATTCGGGAGATGAGGGGCCAGCTGGTCGAGGGCCTGGTCAAATATGGTGAGTCTGACCTATACCAGGCTGCTGAGGTCGGATGACGACGACAGGATGCAGGGTTGATGACGGTTGTGCTGACAGTTACAGGGGCCCCCGGCGACTGGGCGCATTTGGTGCGCCAGACCGGGATGTTTGGATTTCTCGGACTAGAGGAGGGCGTCGTAAAGGAGTTGCGGGGTGGGTGATTTCTACTCAAGCCAGTTCTCATTGTCTAGACGCTAACAAAATCAGAGGAGGATCATATTTACATGGCGGATAATTCGCGCGTGTCGATCGCTGGGTTAAATCCAGGGAATGTCGAGTATGTAGCCAGAGCAATCGCAGAGCGCCTGCGGAAGCGAAATGCTTGATTTGAGGGGGTCATGGATGAATACCGAGAGAACACGGGTAACGTTGGCTTGATGCAGGGCGCTTTATTCATTGCATGCCAGTCCTACTTAGACGAGCTTGTTCTGCTTTCGGCCGTTCCACCAGTTCAACGTTCGGTAACCAGCATTGGGCTTTTTCATGGTAAACATGGTCATCGATTGAATCTTCAAGTGTCAACCGAGTGACATAGCCGCCAACTTGTCCCTGTGATTGTGTGTAACAGCTGGTCGATACATGAACCTCGGATGTTAGGCATGACTCCCCTCGGCTGAGTGGCCAAGGCAGTCGTATCCTCCTAATTGCCGGTTGCATGCGATAGAACGGGCCCCAGACGCGCTTTTGTCATCAGTCCTGGTGCATATCATGAAGGCGGAGTCTAAAATGGCAACGTACCACTTCGGCTAACTGGGACGAGGGATCTGTAAGCCCATGTGCAATATAAAGGTCCCATCTCTCTCCCATAACGACACAGCCAATTGTCACTGGAGGTACCTTGAGGTTATTGCTCATCCGTGCAGATGTCCCGCTTCGACTGGCGGAGCTCCAGGACACCAAGCCCGCCATTCATACCCCTGCTTGTATCTCGGCTTCGACTCGACTTCCCTCGGGTGATTTGACCTCCATGCCTAGCCCGAGTAGGCTCTTTCCGGTGTGTGGGTGATCGATGTGACTGAGCGCTTTTTCATGAATGTCAACCCCTGAACGCGTATGCTCGTCAATGCAAAGCTCTCTCGGGAATCCGACAACGAGGTTGATTATTGCGATTCAATACATCCTTCACGGTGGCGTGGCAGATATCGAGGATCGACGGACTCTGATTGACTGGGTCTTATCAGTAGATAGAACAACGGAAAGTTGAGCTGCATTGGTGACACACGCGCTCCAAGATTCCAGAGGCAAGTTGTCGATCGGCAGAATCGAAAGAGGTCGGACAACGTCCGTGATCCAAGACCCTTCGCTTCGTTCCTCCATGGTAAACTTCATTGACAGGGCGGCAATTCTCCTAATCTTCTCCTTATGAGGTCCCCAGTCTCGAAGGCTCCCCGCATCGTGGGAGGTTCCCCGCCCGGTCTTCTTCTGCTAAGCCAGTCGGAGGAGCGGAGTGCAGCTCTGAGGCGGCGCGCTCGATCCATTCCGCGATTGATTCTCGGTCATCTCTGTTCATTCGCATGCATGAATAGAACGCATTACCTTGGAGTGATAAGTTGTTCGGGTCAGGAGTACGAGAGAGTATGGAAGTTTACGTAGTTGTTCTTGTTGTTTTACCCCGGATGGCCACCAAACGGCCCCGGATTAATTATTGTTCCTGTACCCTGACCTCCACCGTCGCAGAGCTTCGGCTCTGCCTGCTCCATACTTGCTCATGAATAATAACCCATTCACTATTTACCTAGGAATCCTCTTCACAACTCCTCTATCAAAAGACCATCGGAGAAACCCAACATTCTCTGATCGGAAGACTATTATCAACAAACGAGTTTCGTTGATTTCTGCAGTACCTCTTGCCGCCAATTGCCTCCCTGAAAGACTGACAGTTCTTATCGCATCACAATCCCCTAGAACCGAGTCTAATTCAGCATGTTTCGCACAATCTCAGCCCTACTCCGAACTCGATGATTAGCAGCAGCATTATCCAGCTCACACCAGAGATACTCACACCACAAACGTCCCAGCAGACGCCGGCATTGCCCTCAACAACGCCGGCCCGATCCCATAGAACAACCCCCGCAATCCACTCACAGCCCACGTATCCCGCACCACATGTTCCACCCCACGATATTTCCTCTCAGATCCCAACCCATCACTCTGCATTCTGCTCTTAATCACATCGATCGGATGGCTCAACAACCAGAGCGCCTCCCCCGCCAAACCCCCATACACCGCAATCTGCCAGCCCGGTAACTCCTCGCGTCGTTTGCGCTGCCGATGCATCGCCCACCGAACCTGCCCCTCATACGTCGCAAACCACACTCCGTACCCGTGCATCTCACGAACAACCGTCATCAGTTGCCCCCGATACAATCCTGCCAGCCCGCCCGCCCTCATCAATTTTCGTGCACAGTCAAACGGCCCCATGTAGATTCTTCCCGTGCCGTGCGGTTGCGTCTGAAGTCTGATGCGGATATGCTCCACTGGGCCCGAGACGATACTAGTCACCAGCCCTGCACCAGCACCAGCAATGTAAAACTGAGGAAGGGAGAGGGTTCGATCATGCGAGGGGCGGGTTTGGAGATTGCGTGATTCGATCGCTTGGCGGAAGGTATGCAAAGCTCCGAACGAAATGCTGACCTATAACCCTTGTGAGGTCTTGAGACAGAGCCGGTGGAAAAAAAAAAGAAAAAGATACGCACGCAAGCGCCAACCCCCAGCAAGGGCATAAGCGTGCCCTGATTTGCGGCACTGTCTCAGCATGAAACTTCCATCCCCCCTTGAGCAGCAACGAACCTTGTAGAATGCGAGGGCACCTTCCTTGGCCCAGATATGGCGAGTAGCAGACCACGCATCCCCGCCTTCTTGAGTCTGCAGACGAACCTTGACAAGGTCTGGCCTGTGAGAATGTCTGTCTTGTTCAGGGTAGCGGTGGCTTACCGAACGGTTGTCCTGGACGCGTCAGCGTTGCTTCGGAGCATTGGGCAAAGAGTCTTACCGATGAGGACCTGTGCAACTCCACCAGCTGCCCCAGCAGTCACGTCCTTGGCGGTCTGCCTCCATTCTTGGGATCTGGGCACCTCTAATGTGGCAATTTGGTCACTCATCTTGGATTGGGGTCCTACTCGCGTGCTATATGAAGACAATGGGTGAAAGATCCAAGAAATAGACACGCCTAGGAGCACATCCATTCTAGTCGTGGTCAGAGGAGGGTTTACATGCTTGATAGACTAGATTTCCCCACGTTCGGGTATTGTTCCGAGAGACTCTGCACGGTCATCGCCATGTTTCGGGATCCGACTCCGACCCTTGATACGGGTTGCGAGTGGCTTGCCTGTATCTTTGGGTATGGCTTTATGGTCTCTAGGAAGGATTGAAACTCATCAGCCCCTTCGCGGTCGCGAGCTGTTAAATTAAGGGCCATGCTCCTGTCAACACTGTCCTGGAAAATCCAACGTAATCCCTCGTCATACCATGGGCTACAGCAAAACAGCCATAAACTGAGAAAACAACCACTTTTCAAGCTCAGAGCTCTCCATTCTGTTTGAAACAGTAAGAATCAATTCGTCGCGACGATCTTATATGATTCTCGTGATGGGGATGTGAGGAGCATGCGAAAGGAAGAGGACGCCAGAAATATAACATCGAGAGGATTGACGGGGCCCTGTCGAGTATCACGGGGGGCTACACGTTATACAAAGCTCTTGCCAATTTCACTGCGCTCGTGGTGAACTGGGCCATTTCGGGAGGTGGCCGTCCTCTTCAACCTTTTCTCATGGGGCGAAAGAAAACATTTACTGTCGGTGATACTGTCCAGGCTTATCTGATCCGAAGGCCGTTATTAGACTATCATCACGAGACTTGGTCACATGCACACTGGCTGCTCTGATCAGCCCTAAGATTGAGAGGACTTCCACGGCGGTCTAGAAGCTTTGCTTGCAGACAGACTATGGCGAGTATGGTCTAGAAGCTTGCTGCATCTTAGGCCGGTGTGCCTGAACCTAGCTCATGAAACGGCCTTGAAACAGAATCATGCTGGAATCGAGGCTCTGCGTCTAATTATACATCACTCTTTTCTGTGGAAACTGAAGATCAACCTTCGAGGTCAATTCAGCTTCTCCCAAACCCTCCATGTCGACATACTTGATTCGAGGTTATTTATATCACAGGTAGCTATACAAACCCCGTCAGGGACTTTCAAGTACAGCAAGCATAATAAGGGGGGTGGGGGCTCTACTCCGTATACTGGAATCATTTATCTCATATTGTGCCAGCTCTTAGTGTACTGTAAGTTACAATTCGAATGATAAGTGTCTACTTTCCACGGTACGGTTGCTGGCTGTTCTCAATCTCTTAGTCACGAGAGTGAGTGAGTTAGAATGTCCCAGCTCCTCAGAATAGAGCTCTCCACTTGAGGGTCGACCCCTAGCATCTGAGCATACAACCTGTGACTCAGAGCACCTCGATTGCTATTCTTGACCTCTGTCGCCCACTGCTCCTTGAGTGTTGGGAGAGGAGGAGGGGGGGCGGGTACCAGGGAGCGACAGTTTGAGTTGGTCACGAATATAGATTAACCTTCCATAACACCACCAATCCAGTGAGCCTTGACCCTCGGGGTTCCCCAGATCGAACCGAAAGAGTCATGCTTAGATCTACAAAATGATAATCGGAGAGGCATCGGGGCTGGACCCCGGAGTGACTCATGTGACGGACCCCGAAGCGGGAGCCGAGACTAACCACATCCAGCCCAGGCCGCTTGCGGCAACCCACGGTTGATCCTCCACCGAGAAACCAATCAGCAGCCGTGCAATCCGACATCGGCCGGGGAGCAACTGTCCAACTCCGGATCACGTGAATCGCCGCCGGCCGATCTCGTCCCCAGCAACGAGTTTATAAACCGGACGAGAGTTCCAGCTGTCCTCCTTTCTACTCTTCTTCCTCTTCTCCATCTCATCAATTCTGTTCCACTCTCCTCTCTTCCCTTCATCCTCCTCCTCCTCCTCCATCCTCCCTTCGCCTCTTTTCTCCTTCCTTCTTTCAATTCATTCCTCATCCACACACATACACACAATGGCCTCTCGTGGACTTCCCCGTGCCCTCCGCCTGGCCCGCGTTGGTGCCCCTCGCTCCGTGCTCTCCGCCGCCCTCCCCCGGCCCGCCCTCAAGGCTGCCACCGCCGCCGTTCCCCGCGTGACCGCCGCCCCGATCACCCCCGCCCGCGGCGTCAAGACCATGACCTTTGCCGACAGCCAGGAGACCGTCTACGAGCGTGAGGACTGGCCCCGCGAGAAGCTCCAGGAGTACTTCAAGAACGACACCCTTGCCCTCATCGGCTACGGCTCCCAGGGTCACGGCCAGGGTCTGAACCTGCGTGACCAGGGCCTCAACGTCATCGTCGGTGTCCGCAAGGACGGTGCCTCGTGGAAGGAGGCCATCCAGGACGGCTGGGTTCCCGGCAAGAACCTGTTCGACGTCGAGACCGCCGTCAAGAAGGGTACCATCGTCATGAACCTGCTCTCCGACGCCGCCCAGTCCGAGACCTGGCCCCAGTTGAAGCCCCTGATCACCAAGGGCAAGACCCTCTACTTCTCCCACGGTTTCTCCCCCGTCTTCAAGGAGAAGACCAAGGTCGAGGTCCCCGAGGACGTCGACGTCATCCTCGTCGCCCCCAAGGGCTCTGGCCGCACCGTCCGCTCCCTCTTCCGTGAGGGCCGCGGCATCAACTCCTCCGTCGCCGTCTTCCAGGACGTCACCGGCAAGGCCAAGGAGAAGGCCATCGCCCTGGGTGTCGCCGTTGGCTCCGGATACCTGTACGAGACCACCTTCGAGAAGGAGGTCTACTCCGACCTGTACGGTGAGCGTGGCTGCCTGATGGGCGGTATCCACGGTATGTTCCTCGCCCAGTACGAGGTCCTCCGTGAGCGTGGCCACAGCCCCTCCGAGGCTTTCAACGAGACCGTCGAGGAGGCCACTCAGTCCCTCTACCCCCTGATCGGTGCCAACGGCATGGACTGGATGTACGCCGCCTGCTCCACCACCGCCCGCCGTGGTGCCATCGACTGGTCCGCCCGCTTCAAGGACAACCTCAAGCCCCTCTTCAACGAGCTGTACGACGCCGTCCGCGACGGTACCGAGACCCAGCGCTCCCTGGACTACAACTCCCAGAAGGACTACCGCGAGAAGTACGAGAAGGAGATGCAGGACATCCGTGATCTCGAGATCTGGCGCGCCGGAAAGGCTGTTCGGTATGTTCCTCCCGGAAATCTATCATTGTCCATCGATATCAATGCTAACTTGAAATGTCTACAGCTCCCTCCGCCCCGAGAACCAGAAGTAAACCAGCCACTTCATCTTTTCTTGAATTCTTTGAGATCGGGATAGAAACCCCTGGGGGGAAAAGTTTTACGACTGTACTATGATGTGAACTGTTTAGGATTTCCTTTTTTCTTTTTGTTCAAACCTATCCTACCTATTGGTGTATAATCGGAAATATCATTACCATGAATTCTTACTTTCTACCGCATCTCATGTTCAATCCCTAGCCACTAGTTAGATCCGAAGACACACTCGAAGCATTGACAGAGAAAAAGGTGTATGACTCATCGACCCGGCAAAATCCGGGGAAAGGTCGAGGTCGAGGTCGAGGCTTTCTTTCCTTCCCCCCCCTCCACTTAAAAACCGACTGTGCGTTCTGGGCTCGGCTGCAGCAGTACCGTACTCTAAGTCTAGATGGACCAGTCGGAGTACGGACCACGACTCCGGGAGCCCGATCTTCAGCTACCGACCATGAAGCAACACCACCGTGTGCCCCGATATCGGGAAACCTGCAACAATGTCACCCACCAAATTAGGGAGAAGGAAAGAGGACAAAACGCTCGTTCTCTTCGATGAACTTTGTGCCTATAGGAGTTGTTTTCAGCACGTTACTTTCTGAGCCTGACTGTAAACTTGATATCTAGGGAGACGATCCCCAAATCCACGTCGTAAGTGACCCAAGGGACAGAAGGACTGCAAACGCTGTTAAAGCACCAACTAACCACGGAACTTCGATCGCCTGTATCCATCCATCTTTGTCGCGGTCTATATGTAGCTTACCTTCCATTACCGACAAAGCAGGATATGCTTACCACGACCTAACCTCGTACCTACTACTTCCGACAAGAAAACGGACGAGAAACACCTCAAACAAAAATGGTATATGTCTAAACCATCCCCTCGAAAATCCTCTCTACCCTTATCCACCGAACGTGAACGACCTAGTCACGCCTTTTCCTTTTTCTCTTTTTTCTCCTTCTTCTCATTCTTTGGCCGCTCAGCCAGCGTCTCCTCCGGGGGCGCGGGCACGGGGTTGGGGTTTCCCTTCCACTCGAGCTTGCGGGGCTTCATGTACGCGGCCAGCACCTCATCCGAGACCTCCTTGCGCTTCTCCTGGAACTGCGCGACGTACTCCTGCAGCACCTCGATGGTCATTTTCTTCAGCTCGCCCGTCAGCAGATCCCCCTTCTTGTAGCTGTCGTACACCTCGGCCAGCTTGGCATCGTCCTCCTCGAAGTAAGTCAGGTAGATGTATGAGACGTCGACGTCCGGATTGCCGCCCAAGCGGCGGTGGTCCTCGATGCTGACCTGGCCGCCACTGAAGGCGTACTTGTTGATCTTGGTCTGTTACGCACAAGAAGAATGAATTAGTGAGGGGGCAGGGAATTTGAGTGCTTGGGGAAATTGAGGTACGTACTTTGATCTGCTTAGCAGTATCGGTCATGAAGATCGCCGAGTTGGGTTCCGACGCAGACATCTTGCCGCCGGCACCTTGCAGGGCCGTGAGGAACTTGGAGTGGATGAGCGCCGGCTTCGGGGACGGGAACTTCATGCGGTGGGCGTTTTCCCGGAGCAGACGGAAGTACGGGTCCTGGTCGATACCCATGGGGATCAGACATTGGATGTTGGCGATCTCTTGCGTGCGTTCCTGGAGGGGCTCGTCCTTCCAGATCTCGGGGTAGGAGGTCGCGAAGGCGGCGACACACTGCACGGCGGGGAAGAAGATGCGGCCGACGTTGGTGCTACCAACCAAATAGGACAGGTGTCAGAAAAGAGATGAGTCGTCAGCATAGATACAGCAGAACATACCTCTCGTTGAACCCGAACGCGCCACGGACTTGGTTGAAAGTGACCAGACTGGAGAACTCCCAGGCGTTCATCAAAATGTGGTTGCTGATGTACTTCAGGTCGCTGTAGATAAAGGTCTTCTTCAGGTCAAACCCAAGCGCAATGATATCCTTGGCGTTCTCCATGGCGAAACCCAGAGCATCCTCGAAGGAGATGTTGTCCTTGAACAACGCCTTCTCGTCGTCCGTAAGCATGAAGACGAGCGGGACGTCGAATACATCCTGCAGCCACTTGGTGAACTGGAGGGGAATGGTGTGACCGAGGTGCAGACTGCCACTGCTGGGCCCACGGCCGGTGTAGAGGAAGAAAGGCTCACCCCGTTCGTAAAGGGTCAGGATCCGGTCGAAGTCACGGTGGCTGAAGAACAAGCCGCGGCGGAGCCAGCGGTGCGGCTTGTGTCCGGTGACCTTCTCGAAACGCTCGAGAAGCTTTTCGTCGATGATCGAGGTGTTCCATTTCCTGTACAGATCCAGGATCCGTCAACATTAGCCCGAGATGAGAAGTGCAATCGCACATACCGACAGATGGCCTCGTAGTCGATAGCGACGACCTCGCCGTTCTCGTCGCGTCCACCCTCCACGGACCAGGGGTTAATGTCCTGCTCATGAGCAGGCTTGTTCTCAGCCGCGGGCGCGTTCTCGGCCATTCTAGCAGTGTCTATGCAGTTTGGGTGTGAAAAGAGAGGGGGGGAAAAGGAGCTGGACAATGCGTTGGCGGGAATCCAGCCAGGCCGAGGGGAAATTGAATGCCCCTCCAAATTTCCCCTTTGGGCATTAAGTAATCACGTGTTTCTGTCATTCACGCCGGAGTTCCGCACTATCCCCGATCGGATCTGTCGAACCGTCCCAAGTTAACACACTTCTGCACCTTTCTATACTGTCCTGTACCATCTTGCTACGAATAGATAACACCGACCGCAGCTGGAGCTTCCTATCGAGATGTATGACTCATACTGTTTGTCCTGCAGCTCAGGACTCCGTGCATGTTCTACGTACGGTCCCTCCGGTGCCGGAGTGGCGGGGATCTGAATTCACCGCGGATATCAGGTGTCTACGCTTAATTGCGCCATTATCTCCGGAGACTCGCTCATTCCACCCGGCACCTCAACCCTCTTATCTTACCAAAAGCTGACAGGGCAGATTGACTAGAGTCGTTCTTCAAACCAAATTCCACTGAAAATCATCATGTCCGATCCCAAAGTCTTAGCTCAATCCCTCACTCCGTCCGCTGTGCAGGATGCCTATTCCCTTATCCAGCCGTACGTGCACCGCACGCCTCTCCTCACCAACCAAACCCTCAACAACATCGCTTCAACTCCACAATCCCCGGAAGCTTTGAACGGGACCCCTTTCGAGGGACAATCGCCCGCCAACCCCAGAATTCGATTCTTCTTCAAATGTGAGAACTTTCAGCGGATTGGCGCCTTCAAGGCCCGAGGCGCGTTCCACGCCTTGCTGCGGCTTATCGAAGAGCGGGGTCAAGAGGAAGTACAAAAGCGCGGGGTGATCACGCATAGCTCAGGTATGTCAAGCATCACTGACTAACTCCTCAGAACTCAAGCCACACGCATCATGCTAATACCAGCTTGCACTCTACAGGGAACCATGCCCAAGCCCTTGCTCTCGCCGCCTCCACCCTCGATGTCCCCGCCTACATCATTATGCCCAGCATCAGCACACCGTCGAAAATCGCGGGAACGCGCTCCCATGGCGCAGAGATTATCTTCAGTGGATCGACGAGTGTGGAGCGGGAGGCTGTCGTCGAAGAAGTGCAAGCAAGGACGGGGGCAATCCTGGTACCACCGTACGATGATTTCAACATTATCTGCGGGCAGGGAACAACGGCCCTGGAGATGGAGAAGCAGTACAAAAAGCTTGTTACAGAGAAGCCGCATCTGAGCGTCCACCAGGAACTTCCGGTGCTCGATGCTGTGATCACACCGGTCGGTGGCGGTGGTCTCAATGCTGGTGTTGCAACCTTCTTCTCTGATAAGACGACCAAGGTGTTTGGTGCCGAGCCTAGCTTCGAGGGTGCAGATGACTGCCGGCGCGGTCTTGTGGCCGGGGAACGCGTTCCAGCAGTGTCGACCTTGACGATTGCGGACGGACTGCGCACTCCTGTTGGCCTCTTGAACTGGGAGGTGATTGCAGATAAGAACAAGGTGGCTGGTGCTTTTGCTGTGACAGAGGAGCAGATCAAGGCCGCGATGAGGTTGGTTTTGGAACGTATGAAGGCTGTTGTTGAACCGAGTGCCGTCGTGGGGTTGGCGGTTTGTCTGTATAATGAGGACTTCCGACGTCTCGTGGAGAAAGAAGCTCCCAACGGTTGGGATGTGGGCATTGTCTTCAGCGGAGGCAACACGACTGTTGATGTAATCGCCAAGCTGTATAGCTGAGTGCTGTGCATGTATGAGAGCAGCGTCATCTGTACATTGCGTGAATACCCACTTAGAGAATTTACCCGAATTGCACTCCATCTCTACCCATCCGAAAGAAAAACATTCCTCCATCTAGTGCCTCAACACCCTCGAGCCATCTCCGCGGCCAGTCTTCACGTCCCCACATATTCACCCATCCAGAGAATCGGCCACGCATGAGTATCTCCTGCCGCTTGGCCGCATTCTCTTCAGCCTCCTGCAAGCCCATCGCAGCAGGAAACGGCCGAACCGGATCACGCTGGACAACCACTCGTAATACAGGGAAAGTCCCCCACGGTGCTGGAAGAGCCGATCGGAACGACGGCCTCCGGAAGGCAGGTGCATCAGAAGGGTTATAAAGGTCATATGGGCCAGAAGGTTGGTATCCATGTGAACGACGGCTTGGTGTTGTATGTGGGGCAGCAGTAGTGGTAAAGACAACTGCACAGCTAAAAACGCGCTGCAGTCGCTGCAACTCCCTCACCAAGTCCGTGTACATGTCGAACAGGTAGAAGCTCTGTTTCTGGCGGCGATCGTGCTCAATTTCTGCAGCCGGACGCCCTATTTGTTCGACGCGAGTCATCTCGTCTTGTAACTTATCCTGCCAGTAGAAAGCATTGGCACTGTCCAGGATCAGCAGCCGGAGTGCTCGAGAGCTGGATGCATGGCGGGCGAGATCTAGGAGGTAAGTATCCAGCCGCTGGAGTGTGGCAAGAAGGGCCGACGAAGACTGGGGCTGGAAGACATGGACATGTTTCAAGCAAGACACGGCCATCCTCTCCATTCCCTCGTCAAGTCGACTCATATCCTGTGCTCCGCATTTGACCTTAACAATGCCGCAAAGGACGGAACGCAGCCGCTCGGTATCGAAGCGGCCATCGGTGTCCATGAAGACCACCGCCGAATCATGACCTCCTATCTTAAAGCCGTTAATCTCGGCCGGCAGAACAGCGAGAGCAGTGATATAGTATAGCAAATTAGTCTTTCCTGCTGCAGAAGACGTGCTAGATATCTCCAAGACGGGTTCTGCATGGCTCGTATAGGCAGGCACCGGGATACCGGCAGAATGAGTATTGGCAGTTCTCCCAGGTGGATCATGTGCAAGTTCATCGTCAGGATCATGCTCTGGGTCGAGCGGAAGTTCTTCCTGTGCAGTGTCTGCTCTAGACTGTCCCGACGGAACGGGTGCAGTAAAGATACCCACGAGTTTGTCGAGCTCGTCGACTCCAAAGCGAGTCTTCAGGGTATTCCTTCCGATACGTTCTTGGTATAGTTCTCTGAGACTATGCAAGAGCTATAGCGACCAGTCAGTTTGTGGAGATGGAGCGCGAAGCTTGACGTTGGGCATCACCACGCATCAAGATATGTATATGATGCAATACCGACCTCGTTCAGCCTCTCCTCATGCACTTCCGTCAGTAATCTTTCTCCAAAGCTAGCCGCCATATTTGACGCCCAAGCACCTGCAGTTACTCAAGGAGTTCCCGAAATCGTGTAGCATAGCATCTGGCTATTGTCCGTTCCGACCTGGGAAGGTGGTGAAATCAGCCTGGAGTGACAGCAATCAGCAATCCACCAGCTCCGTCCGCCGGAAAGCCTTCCGCTGCCCTCACCTTTCCACTTTCCCAACTCTCCTCTCCGCCTCCTCCGCATTTTGCTTCCGAATACTCTACTATTATCCATGCGAATCAACCGCTGAATCAACCGAGGCGCAAATTCAATATCACACCCATCCAGCTCCGCGGATTCTGACATCATCGCACCAATTCGATCAAGGTTCCCCTACCACACCCACCTCAAAGACAATGGCACCCCTCGTCCCCGTCTTTCACGCCGAAACCCTCCCCGAGCACGTCAACATCTCGACCAAGAACTTCCAAGAGAAGCGTCGCAAGGGCGGCCCCGTCGAGCTGGAGAAATGCCAGCTGCTGGAGATGGTACAATACTCGTGTAATCCTCCTCAGGGCGGGATCCCCAAGCCTGGTGTCATTGTTTGTCAACCGGTTGTCCGCCTGTTTCGAAGGTAAGATTCTTGCTTTTCTGTCTCTCTCTTCCTTTTCTTGATTGCAGAAAGACGCCCTAAACGGCCAGTGCTGCTTCTTTCACCATCTCTGCTGAGGTTTCTGACGCTACTTTACCACATAAGATGCGCCGGAGGATTGACCGTGGAGACGACCGCATGGGAACCGATAAGAATTCAGAAGGAGGAAGAAGAGCGGAAACGGGGCGCCGCTGCAGAGCAGGCCGTGAAGGCATGACACGAAAGATGAACATTGGGTTGCATTTGCTAGCATTATATACGGTGTTGGAGTGTGGGATTTATGGCGTTGCTTGGGTGAAAGATTATGTTGGTGGTCACTGATTAGCCAGACATCTTGAATTTGATTCTAAAACTCTACTCCATGGGTATCTTCACTGTGATCATGCAAGGGTTTAAAAAAAAAGAGAAGGAAAACAAGGTGAAACGCCCCATGACGCCCGTGCATGCTGCCATTGCACACCCACCCATCATATACAACCACGCCCATCGCCTCCCCATCAAGTGCTCACCCAGCTGTCCACCCGGGAAGCTCTATCATGGGCCTCCTTCTTCACGCCAGATTGCTTATCCTCTGCTGCTCTCCGCGCCCCCGATGACGGCACTCGCCGCCAAAACTCCCGCTCGCAATTGATGATAGGTGGCAGCTCAATGCTTAACGCGAGCCTGGACCGAACCGGCTTGACCTCCGTATCCAGCCCAGCTCCTGAATCAATTTCCATGGGCGCCGCGGCACCCGGCACCGTGGCGGTCCGCTGCATCCGTTTCGCCAGCCCCTTCACAGTCTTCTCAAACATACTATCCATCGTCTCTGCGCGCCGGCCCCAGGGTTTCTTTTCGCGCGCCGAGGACCCAAACTGGTTGTCCTTGAAGGCCGCCCGCGCCAGCTTGCGCAGAGCCTCCTCTCCGTGCCGGCCATCCTCAGTAGCGCGTTCGCGAATCTTCCGAGCGTCCTGCTCGCGTTCTGTGAAGACTGCCGTATGGCGGTAGGTGTGTTTGCTGGGGAAGGCGGGGAAGTGTTTCGGGATGTAGGAGCTTCGGACGCGGTCGTCCTCGCCACTGAGCTGTGGTCCAAAGGATGGGAGGGTCTTGAAGGAGTCTTCTTCTGGCGGGGGGGTGGGCTGAGGGGTCGGGATGGGGTCAAGGTTGGGATGAGGTTGGACGTGTGGGAGGAGGTCGGTGTACGGAACAGAGTGACGGCGTAGGGCGTCGTCAAAATCATGAGGAATGGGCTGAGTGCGTCGGCTCGATAGCATGGATTGTCGCACGTAGGATGCGACGCTTAAGATATCTAAATGCGGGCCTCTGTGTCAACATCGTGTCGCGGATTCTGGTTTTGCACTTTATCCAGACAAAATCAGGAGCAATGCACACATACATTCTTCAGTCACCCTGCGAAAGGCGTCCAGCGCGGCAGGGTCTGCGACTTCGAACCCGCATGTTCGTAAATATTGACTGATGGACCGATTGAGGAGCTGGTCGACGCAAGCATCGTCGACGATGGCGGGTTCAGGTAGAGCTGGGTTAACGGGGCTCTGCAGGCGGTGATGGTGGTGGTAGTGACGCTTGATGCGCTTTGCGCCAGGAGGATTCAGTCCATCTTCAGGCGAGGAGGAAGAGGCGGAGCGCTTGATGGTTGGTTCTGACTCGACCATGGCGCCGTTGGGATGGTCATGATGGAGAGAGCTGAGGAAGCAGAGAAGCCGGGCGGGAAACACGCCCGCCGCAACTGGTGATCACGTGTACGGCATCTGCACAGAACGTGACACCTGAGGCAGAAACAATCACCTTCACCTTAGACCACCCTTACCCAGCTGTGATTGAGCGTTCATATTGTGCATAATGCCAGTATGCCAGCCAGATAGAAAAAGCTTTGAATTCTAGCATCAAATATTCATACCATGTAGTACTTTTCACTTGTATCTTAATCATGTGGTAGTACTGAGAATTTCTCTAGATCAGCCCAACCGTCAGGCCACTCACAGCGGTCGCTTACTACACCCCGGCCCGGGAAAGCTTCACCTCTAACTTCCGACTTTCACTTCGACATCACCGCTGCTACTTTCTTCTCCTCCACTTCCCCACCACCACCACCACCTCCTCCAGATCTCCGGGTACAATTGCATCCAATTGATCACAATGGCTGCCACCATCCGTCCTATCACCGGCGTATGTGTTTCCCTTGCTCCCAATCTCAATTCCAACCAGCCAACCATCAGAACCCGATCATCCCACCCCCCATGCCATGATGCCATGCCATGCCATGCCATGCCAATGGCACAGCCTCTACATCACGCTTTCCGCAAGATCTCCAGAACTAACAGCTTTTAAACGAACAGATGCTCCGCCGCACTCTGGTCCTCGACCTGAGCACCGCCTTCGGTGAGTCCTCATTACGCCTGCCTGCCTGCCTGCCTGCCTGCCGCGAGTCAGCCAGTCAATCGCACGTTCGAATTTCACGCAGCAACCTCATGATCCAGCCCATTGCCCACACACCCCATCCTGAAATGCCCACACCACCTGCGCGTGAAGGTCTCACCACTACCGTGATCCCACCGCGCCAGTTCCCGGCCCCGTCCATCCTGATCCGCGCAAACCCAAGCCAATTATACAACCCCTAAGAAACCCAAAACTGACCACCAATCTTTCGAATGCAGGCTTCGGCACCACCTTTGGCTACCTCTGGTGGTACGGTACGTACATTCGCTTCCTCTGAACTCACCCCAATGCAGTGCCATGCCCATCCGCAAGCTGTCAAAGCTAACAACCCGAAACCAGGCTACCACCTTCCCCGCGTCCGCGCCCGTGACAACTACTACACCCGCCTGGAGGCCGAGCGCGCCGCCCAGCAGGCCTAGATCGACTTGTGATTCCTGTTCCGGGTACTGGCACAGTCGAGCCGTGTGGTACCGTGTTGAATTAGTCTCAATCAAGCATTTATCTCTCTTGTCTATTTAGTCCAATCTCGATTCGAGCCGATCTGGCTCCGTTCTGTACCTGTACCTGTACCAGTATCTTCCACTGTACGGGTCACTGTCCGGTTGTGTCGGCATGAGACATTCTCTTAGATTTAGATATCCGGAGGCAAGGGAGTGGTTTGCGTGTGCAGGTGGGTTTGGTTCCTCTCTACTCATAGAGTTTGAGCAAGCCAGAGCGATTTAGTACTCACTGCGCTGGGTTTATCTATTACCAGTTTGTCGATTGCAAGCCGAAGGGGCGCCCCCAGTAAGTGATAAGCCATGCCTCGCAATGCGTCGGTCTTGCTGGGTTTATGATAAGATGAGTACACCGAACTTGAGTAGCCAAATCCATAGGCTGCTGGTTTGAGAGTTGCACAATCATCTCTGAGGCTTTTCGAGACCAGGCGAAGATTGACTTCACCTTATTCCAACTATCAACCAACTCGAAGAACAAAAAGACACAGGCTAGATCATCTCTTTCATAGCAGTAACAGTATCAACAGCAGCGGAAGTAAAAGCAGAAACAGGAGCAGGGAATCTATCCAGTCGCTAATAAATAATTCAAATGAACAAATGCAATGATCACACCTTCTTACCCTTCGCGTCACCCTCCACCTCACAGCCAGATAGAACCACCCCAGCACACCAATCACCCACAACCTCAATCCCCATGCATGCTCCTCTTCCCCCCCAAAAAAGGAGCTCTCCTAACGGAGGACATCATCGAACTTCACTCCCCTGACCATACCTCCCTGCATCGCCCCCCTGACATTTCTCTTGAACCCCTCCCGGTTGCCCCTCAAATCCTCCGCCGCATCCTTATTGAGTGGATCCGAGGCATTCGGCTCGAGGAACAAAAACTGCAGCCCGACAATCACCGCATTCAGGTTCAGGACCGGCTTCCAATCCTCCCGCAGAATGTTCAAGCACACATTGCCCTCCAGGTCGATATTCGGGTGGTAGATCTTCTGCGTACATTTCACCTTCGGCGGGTCGTGCGGGAAGTTCTGGTTCACGCTGAAGCTGAAATTGAAGTGGCCGCCCTTGTACATGCCTTCATCGGGGGAGATCACGAGAACGAAGTTGAGGATGTCATCGGGGTTCGGGAAGGTCATTTTCATGGTGGAGCCGAGGGTGAGTTCTTGCAGGTCTAGATTTTGTGGTTTGGATTCTGGATTAGTGGTCGTGGTGCCAGAGATGGGATGGGAGGGTTGGTAAGAGGACTGGGGAAGGGGACAAGGTGGGGAGGAGGGCTTTACCTCTCTGAACTCGCAACTGAGCAGCGGTGACCTTCTTCTTCTTGCCGGCAGCTCCTTCGGCATTTTCAGCTTGTTGCTGTTTTTGCTTCTGCACCGAGTCAATCAGGATTAGTATGAGGTGGTATCATCCGAGGTGTGAAGAAGAGAAGACGGGGCCATACCATCGACCATATTTTCAACATCTTGACGTCCTAGGTTCTCGACAACCACGCAGACCTTAAAAATGAGTTTATCCAGGTGAGATGGATGCGCAAGGGCGGGAGTATCAGAGCGAGGTAAGCTTCAACTCTGGTGTCGTGGTGTAGGTCGGTAGGTCGAGTACGAAGATGCAGAGGGGAAAGCTGCGGGGTCCTCCTCAGGTAAGCGATGAGAGAATTTGCCACAACCAAAAAGAAATGAAAGCGTCCTCTACAAGACACCAGACCCTGTCCTGGAATGCAAAGAGCGAACTCACCCAGACAACGCCTATAACAATAAAATCCCTTCCAAACTTTCCCAGGCAGAGGCAGAAGCAGAGGCGGAGGCGGAGAGCGGAGGAGAGCGGCGGCCTGACGCCATCTCCATTTTGGCGCTACTATCCCTTCTGCCCTCTCCTGCCGCCTTCAATCACCGCCTGCACAAGGCCAAATCCACGAAGACATCATCTCATGCTGATACTCCAACAAGTAATACGGTACAGTAATCGTTTGATTCTAAACGCTAGGTATTGTCTACAAACATCGCCATGCCTGCAGTCGTTCGAAATGTGCAATCCAATCAAAAGAGAAAAGAAAAGCGAAAGAAAAACGAACCCACGCAACACTCACTCATTCTCACACAACGAGAAACAAGCATCATATGTAGAATACAAAATTGCAACAAAAATGTGCCAAGAATAACTCCGTGAGGTTCCTGCCTGCCATGCGTGCCGCAAGCCACCTATCCTTGCCAGCTTTTTCATTAATACTCTTTCCTCTACCGCCGGGCAAAGCAGCACATCACTCCCGTCTTACCCAAGAACCAGCAGGCTCCGATGAAACGGAAGAGGGCCACAACGGCGTTCGACCACAGCAGAGCCTGGAAGAAACGCGATGTCCGTGTGGTAGCAGAGTTCTGCAACAATAATGTCAGTGGCAAGTTCATCTCCCAGACGCAACAGACACAGATTACATACCGTGAAGCCAAACTTATCCACGCCGTCGCTAGTGATACAG